ACGGCAACAGCCACACTTGTTTTTTACGCCCCTGTATCCCGACAATAACAGATAACACTTGAACCATAGAATAACTAACTGAAAGAAATGAAAACTCCTATGTTAAAGCCTGGAAACACGCGCTCGACGCGATCCAAGCGAGCTACTGGCAGAACTAAAAGTTCGCGCCATATTTTTAAATGGACCTTTACTGCCAGTTCATAAGTTTTTTACTTATATTTGGTAATTTCAATCTAGATTATGAACTTATTTGTAATAAAACATTTTACAAAATAAAAATAATGTATTTTGATACAAATAAATTAATAATCTAGGTTGAAATTATCCCTGAAATTAGAATAAAACACGAAAAATTTGTAACTTGATTATTTTATTATAACATTGTTAATAAAATTACATATAACACATTCAACACTATACAAGTATATATAAAAGTTTCAGAATTTATACAATCAGTTATAAGTAATTATAAAAAAGGTTATAAATTATAAATAAATAATTCATTATATAAAAGACATATAGTTACCGTGAATATAATTTGGTATAACTTTAATCTCAACTTTAATGACCTATTCAAATAGAAACATCTTACAATTCACATTATATAATACACAAAGCCAAGGGACAAAATTGTTATTAAATCTATTCTCGATGACTCGAAGCATTTTTTTTTCAAATAAAACAGGACATATAGGGCTTATAAATAATACAAGGGTATAGAAAATATATAAATAAGTAAATACAAATATATTTTCAACCTAATGATTAATGATTATACTCGTTTAAATAAATAAATGATCTTTTTAAAATTACTTGTTTGTCTTTGCAAATTTGTATATTTAATATTTATCTAAAAGCGTACACTTACATAAATTACTGCACAACCTTTAAAATTAAGCTTTTAATATGTTATACAAATTCTTGATTCGATATAAATACACTTAAATAAAACTTTAAAATTAATGATCTTCCAAATTTCTGAGACAGCCATTTTGTTGAAAGAATTTGTTTTGATTATGAGAAATTTCATAAAAATTATCACAGGGATTAATTAATCTTATATATGAAACTACTTGGCTTTTAAATTTCACAATCCTATCGTCCAAAATACTCTAAATTCGCAAAAATCCGTAAATATTCCCATAAAAACAAATCACAATTCACTTCCACTTCACAGAAACTGACAGACATTGCCAGATATGGAATGACGTTTATTTTTCAATTTATTTTACTGATCTAACTGATCCGGGTCACTTAGAAATTAAATTTTTATTAAATTATTTAATTATAATTGTTTCTGGCGAAAGCAACTTCATATCAATGTTTATTCATAGGGTAACAAAGCACATCACTGTTAAATTATCAACATTTTATATAAATATTTATATTTTTCAACTACTCCAAGTACTCCAATTACTCCACAGAGAATCAAACGAATTGTTAATTAAACTATACTCTGTGGATGACTTGATAAAATCATGATGAAATTAAAGTCCCTAGATGAATATCTAGGGACTTTAGATGAAATTTCTATGCAGCGCCATCTATCCCTCTACTGGCAGAAACTCCGCCGTGTTTCCAAAATTCAAATGGCAGTTTCATCCGCCTGACTTGAACGGTCGCGTCGGCTAGACTTGGCTAGACTAGCGAAACCGATATACGACCTCGATTATCAACTCAAACCAGTTCTTTTTACTTAACTGTTTCAAACAGTTCCAAGTTCCTAACTGTTCCAGGTCGCAAACTGTTCCAAGTCTTAAACAGTTCCAAGTCCCTAACTGTTCTAAGCGCTAAACTGTTCCAAGCCCTAAACTGTTCCAGGTCGCAAACTGTTCCAACTCTCAAACTGTTCCAAGTCCCACTGTTCAGGTTGGGACTTGAAACAGTTTAGGGCTTGGAACAGTTTAGCACTTGGAACAGTTAGGGACTTGGAACTGTTTGGGTCTTGGAACAGTTTGGGACTTGGAACAGTTAAGTAAAAAGAACCAGTTTCAGTTGAGAAACGAGGTAGTATATCGCTTTAGCGACGCGGTTGCTTGGCGTTATATTATCGAGATTGAGTGCGAGTGCACTAATATAGTACATAGACGTAAAAAAAACAAGGGTGACGGTTTTCGCAGCGTTGCCGATATTTGATATATTTAATTAAAATTCAACTAAATTTTTATTATAAATTTTAAATAGGAAATCAATATTTAAAAATACAGAAAGAAAAGAATATCTAACATTTACTATTTTATATATGTAAAGTAGTAAAATACATATAAAATAAACATTCCTAGATAATAAAAACAAGCGGTTCCTTTGTCGGTATGTATACATTTTTTAAGCAGAGTTTTTTTAATATAAACAGAATAGGTGAAGATAATTTCTTACCACCAAAAAAACGTACTGGCGATGTTGCCAAATATAATATAATATATAATTATCTAATTTTGAAAAATACACTATTAAGAATCTAGTATCACAAATATAGTAGATAACATAATGTAAACAATTCCAAGAATTTATTTCTTTAAGTATTTAATTTAAGTTGCAGTGTTTTGAAACAGCTGGAACAGTTGGAACTGGAACTGGTATAGGATAGCACATAAACCTGTTCCAAGCCAGTTCCAAAACAAACCTGTTTCGAAAATAACCGATCCTGTTCCAAAACCTCATCACTAGCACGAACGCAAGCACTACATTACAATGTGGACGCCGTCGCTTGCGAGACGAAAGATCTTGAGAAACACGACAAACAGGAAGCGCAAGCAACGCAAGCACAATCAGAAGCAAGAACGCGAGCAGGATCACGCGCAATGTGGACGCACCTTTAGCTTCAATCTATTGAGGTGTTCATTAAAGAGAGAGTGTCCTGTTAAAAACTCCGTGACAATCCGAAGAGCAAAGTTTAAACCACCCTGTATAACAATAAAAATACACCAATCATCTCTAGCACAAGAATAAAGGATAATTATTTCTTATTCTGTGTGTCTATAGTGGGTCAATGAGATATTTTTGGCCTAAACATTAAAAATTAGCAAATCGATGTGGAATTTTTAGCGTAATTGTTACTACAACCGGCAACAAAATACAGTTATATCAGAAATGATTGGATTTCTGTCTCCTGGTACCACTCACTTTCACGCTGCTAGTGGTATTTCCACTGGTACTACACAGCGATATCTCGCGTTTTGCAAAATTACACGCTTCAAATGAATACAGAGAATACAATTAATTTTGTTATGTAAAAGTTATTTATTTATTCATCAAAATAATTAATGATTTTAGTAATTGGGATATCGGGAATACCCTTAGTATTGCGTCGAGTACAGGAGATTCATAGTATCAAGGAAATTACAAGGATGTTGATGGAATATTTTGACCCATTTTAACTCTTTATAGGTTGATGGTCGCTAAATCGACCACTTTAATTTAACCAACTAATCAGTGGCGTGGAAGTGTATTATCGCCCTTATCTATACTAATACATAAAATCCTTAAGTGACTGACATACTGATTAATCACGATCCTGCTCAAACCACTCAACGTAAGAAGCTCAATTTTGGCATACAGGTTGATTCTAGGGTCTAGATGTTCGATAAGAAGGGATTTTTCGAAATTCCAGTTCCAAGAGGGTGAAACCACCCCTCAAATATTACAATATTTTTTATTTAAAAAACGGTCAAGTTTCCGAAAAAACGCTTAAAAACCTATATCTTATTTTGTTTTTTTACATATTTTAAGATTTTTGAAAAATGTATACAGGGTGTTTCGAAAAATCTGGTCATTGATTAATCACGATCCTGCTTAAAGCGCTTGACGTAAAAAGCTGATTTTTGGAAAACAGATTGACTTTAAGATGTAGAGGTTCGATAAGAAGGGATTTTTCGAAACTCGAATTCTAAGGGGGTGAAACTATCCCTCACAAATATTAAAATATTTTTTATTTAAAAACCGGTGAGTTTTTCGGAAAAACTCTTAAACACGTATATTTTATTCTGTTGTTTTACATATTTTAAGATTTTTTATAAATTTATACAGGGTGTTTCATAAAATATGACCATTGAGTAATCACGATTCTGCTTAAACTGCTTGACGTTTAAAGCTAATTTTTGGTAAACGGATTGACTGTGGGGTGTAGAGGTTCGATAAGGGGGGGGTTTCTTGAATCTCAAATTCCAAGAGGGTGAAAACGCCCCTCTAATATTACAATATTTGTTATTTAAAAAACGGTTAGTCTTTCGGGAAAACGCTTGGACAAGCATAATTTATTTGGTTTTTTTACATATTTGGAATTTTTTTAAAAAATCATACAGGGTGTTCCAAAAAGTTGGGTAATTTATTAACCACGATTCTGCTTAAACTGCTTGACGTAAAAAGCTTATTTTTGGCAAAGGATTTTTCGAAAGTCAAATTCCAACGAGATGAAACTACCCCTCAAATATTACCAAGTTATATAATATCGCCACATTGTTTTTTCTCATGCTGACATAAATGTGAGAAAATTTTATCCAGTTTGTATGTTAATGGAAATTCCTGCTTTGCTTTATCATCACCATTAAAAATGATTAATTCGACGCGAACGAAGTCGCTGGTACACGCTAGTATATTATATTTAATCAACCTTATCTATACGTTGGCCGAATTGGCGCGAAAAATTAATGTAAGCGGTTGAATATTCGACCAGTAAATACTTGCTAAAAATGTTATTAAGAAGATATAGGTATGCTCCCTTTGTGCTAGCTTATATATTTTTAAAGTCAATTTGATCAAACTAGAAAATAATTAGTACTACCCTATAAAGGGTTAAGACTCACCCTGTACAGAGATAACACAATTTTATTATATTTAAACATTTTCTCAATAAATAAGAACACAAAAATTTCTTCAATAATTATTTAAAAAAAATATATGGATGATTTAGTAAAATATTATTTATTTTGATTTAACCCCCTTATTTTATAATAAAACAATTTCAACATTAATCTAAAAAAATGATAATAACGTTTACTTACTCATATTTAATGCTTTTTCATTCCAATCAGTTCAAACAGAAAAAAAAAATGTAATCCAGTTTCACATTAGCAAGTTATCGATACACCAAATAGATCGTAAGCAAATATATCAGTTACCGATTTCTAGTACTCGATGGAGTACTTACATGTGCGAGTACCTTCTACTAAAGGTGGTTCGTACGAGACTGACGCATTGACGGAAGATTTTCACCACGGGTACTACTATTGCCGCCTATTTTGTACTACACAAGATAAGAGGGAAACCTGTTAAGTAGAACCTCTCACTAGTGGTACGCAGTAGCGTTACAGTCAATTAACTGTTGATAATATTAATATTAATATTGTTTTGAGTACTTTATATAAAGTAAATATTTACATGAATTTGTCATGAAAAATATGTTTAACGTTTATGAGGTTCAAAAAACTCGTATAAAAAATAAAAACATCTTTATTTTCAAAAAGTGATTCTATAAGGGTTTCGTGAAAATAGCAGAACTCACGAACCACCACTGTATGTTACGTTCAGAAAAAAATTAAATGTACTTACCCCAAGCAATTTAGCTTTGAAATAGACAAAATAGAAACTTACCTGGTACCATGCCCCTATAAATTTAACTACCCTATTCAATTTCTGTAGGTAGACGCTACTTATCTCTAGACATTTTATGTTTAAAGCCCCGTCTAGACATGAAGTTTTTTCTGTCAGTTTTGCGCGTCAGGCAAAATGAAAGACCGTCTAGGAGACTCACAAATCACTGCTGACTGCTGACAAGCTGGTCTCCGTTGAATTAACGCAGCAGTGTTTATTTTGTAGGTTTTCTTATATTGGCGAAATACCCATGGAGGAATTTTTTGAAAAGATTTTTTGTTTGTAGGAGAGTTTAGCGTTACTTTTTAATGTAAAATTAATGTCAGAAATAACTATCAATTATGTATTCTTATTACACAAATATCCATAATGTTTCTGTTCACAGTATAATAGTTTATTGGATGGTACGCCCCTAGATCATAATATACAGTACGTCTGCTGGATCTGTGTCTATGAAAGGAATGCGGACAAAAAACATTTAAATAAACAGCAATATATTTTATACGTCGACTTGACGAGTACGTCACCGCAAATCGCTCCGCCCACTCATTTTATTGGCTTCTTGCAAATTTGTCGAATTTTTATTGATGGGACGCGTCGTCTAATTTTTTACGAAAAACATCGAGAGAATATCGTTTCCCCCCTCTCACGGATACCCCGTAGCTACAGAACGGACAGATGTACTGTATACTTACGTGGATAAGTAAATCACTATGGAAACTGTCGTAAACATATCAACGACTTCCATTTATCTTTTTTTTGTTGCACGCGCGGTGCTTCTACTCTATCTATCCTTGTCGAGGACCTATCGTCCGCGCGCCAAATATGAACATTAATTTTAAAAATTTAATTAACTTCTCACTGAACACACTTGCATTCTTGGCTATATAAAATCGGTCCATAAAAGTGTAATTAATACAATTTTTAAAATAAAAACGCAAAAATTAGGCGTCGCGTCGTTACACAATGGAAATAAGATTATGACAATATGATCTGATGGCAATGAAAAGTTGGTTTCCATAACAATGTATAATTTTTGTACTTTCTAAACCGTTTAAAATTGTGATTATTTTGGAAATACGTGCAACTTTTAATGAGCATGCGCAAAGCAAGGTCCTCGAGAGAGACAAACCTATTGAAAGTTTCATAAGTGCAATAAGAAGGTTTGAAAATTACATGTCGTGATGTTGGAGACATATTTTTTAATGCTAAACTTATGGCGTTGATTTATCCACGTAATTATATATTATGATCCAGGGGTACGCCTATGTAAAATGGGCGAGTCACTACAAAAGTATCAAATTTCTTAGTTAAATCTGTGATAAAAGTATATTATTAATATAAAAATAATAATTATTTATTGCGTAAATAAATTCAACTAAACTTTTTAAAATAAATATAATACAATAATACAGTGTATTACACAGTATTAACACAGTGTGTTTCTTAATTAACAGTAAATTGAATTGAAAGTGTTTTTTTGTCAACCTTGTATACAGGGTTGTTCACCACATACGACACGGAGTATTGTAGCTAAACGATGAGATTTTTACAAATTGTAAGTCTTGGGTTCGATGAAGGACTATTAGAGGTACAATTTAAAAATAATTTTACAAGATACAGAGTGTCCCAAATAAGTAAAAAATATCAAAGTTGTATTTTTTTAAATGGAACACCCTGCATATTATTGCATTTTTAGTTTCTACGATTAAAATAAAGGTAAATTTGATTAAGGTTTATTATACTTACACCTTACCGTTTTTGAAATATTTTCAATTTTGTGAAATTGCAGTAAAAATTTTAAGGCTTCATTTCTCCAAGGGTACCAAACATAGACTTAAAATAAAATATAGACTACACTATTTACATCTCAACGCGGACAAACAACCTTTTTTGTACACATGTTTACTTCTGGGTACAGTCGACCGAGCCTTCCTCATCCAGCCTATGTTGTCACGTCTTTAATATTATCAATATTTTTTTTCTTGTTATACACATATATTGAGATATTAATACTGCAGTTTAATAAAGTAGGTTTTAATATTCCAGAGATGTATTAAATAGTCCTTATACTACTAAATTATAAGTCGGATACTGTTTAAAAAGGATAAGTTCTTTACAATATGACAACACCGATTAGAGGCGAGGGAGCCTATTCATTCATTTATTACCTTGTAGTACGTGTCGCACGTGTGCGGTAAAGCTTTGTTGCCGCTATCTCCCCGGCTGTATTAACGCATTTTCTTAGCTTGTAGTGCTTAAGTGTTTATTTTATTGACTTTTTCTGTTCAAGAACTATAAAATATGGTTCGCCAGTGCCAAATTTGCAAGAAATTTGACTTAAATAATCCATTTAAGTCTTGAAACGACTTTTGACCGTAGGCAACTCTCAATTTACCCATTGGGAGTCAGTGGCGTTGTTGTAGAAAGGCGCTTATTTAGATAATATTTTAGTAAAATGTAAAATCTGAATTTTTTCTCTTATATTACATTATTTACTTACTTACATTGTAACAAAATCATAATTATAACCCTGTTAATAATTAATAATGTTTTTATTAAAAATATATTCCGGTTTATTCTAAAATTATCTTCAGAATCTAAAATAACATACAAGAATTTTAATATGATATTACATTATGAGACAATATTTTTTAATATACCGGGTCGTCTCAAAAGTGGTTCACCGCTATAACTTTTTTATTTTTTCAGATAAAAAAACAGATTTGTATGTTAGTAGGTATATGACATAAATTAGGATTTATTGACGTATTCAATTGTTTTTGGTCTCTTTCTGTTTCACCGAAATGATTACATCTTTTGATTTTTAAAGGCACCCTCGGTATATTTCTACTTTATTCGATAGAAAATGATAATAGAATTCTGAATAGAATGACATATCATATGTCAACTTTTGACATTGTCGCTTAAAAACAAATCGTATTATAAATTTCAATCCAGGGTGCCATGGTGTTGTTAAAAACACTAAGTTTTAATCAAGGAGCCTTGGAAAAATAGTTTTGATCGTCTAATGGGTTTCGTGTCTTGTCTAGGCCGATTAAAAGATGTACAAATCATATTTTTAATCATACATATGTCAATTTTTTCAAATGGAACAAGGGTGACTCGTTAGCATATTTGGAAAAAGCATTTTTTTATGAATATATTGATACCACACACTTGGTATTTCGAGTCAAATTGTCGTTATGAACCACGTGTTACAATTACAATTAAACCATATGCGAAAGTGTCAAAAGTTGACATATGATATGTCATTCTATTCAGAGTGTCATTTTCTATCAAATAAAGTAGAAATATACCGAGGGTGCCGTTTAAAAATTAAAAGTTATAGTCATTTCCGGTGAAACAGAAAGTGACCAAAAACAATTGAATGCGTCAATCAATCCTAATTTATGTCATATACTAACATACTAAATCTTGTTTTTTTATTTGAAAATATAAAAAAATTATGGGGTTGAGCCACTTTTGGGACGCACCCGGTATAATAAAGACAGTACCGAGTTAAATAAATGTAGTTTTCATTTTATCCCCTTCCTATCACCTTCCTTGCTTTAATGGAACAGATTTATGTTTTCTCTATTTTACATAATAAGACATCACTTAACCAGAAAAAAAATTACAACAATCATATTTTTTTTTCTCTCTCTGTCGCCGATTCTATTATATCTGTGGAATAGATCCTGTTTTCATTAATATTAGGGGTTGTAAATGTTTGACTAAAATTAATAATTTATTATTAATTTCAAAAATTACATAATTTCGATTATAAAATTTCTTCTATAACGTGTATTTTATTATTTTTATCCTTTTTGGACTCTAAGACGTTTTTTCTAAAACTTTTATTTAAAAAACCTGTCCTAAATCTTAATAAAATATAAAAATGTTTAAATACGATATATTTTTAATTTAATTATAGCTTCATTAAAATAAAAAAATTACCCGGCTATGAGACGGAGAGTTCAGGTGTACTTGAGAAACGAAAGACAGTGTTGTGTTTCTCGGCAGAGTCGTCAGGGAACGACCGTTACGACAGAGACAACCTATCTATCGCTCGTGTCGCACTCGTTATAACCTAAAACAATAACACAACAATAACAAGATATTGTCTGACCGCATGTTCCAGCTATTTATGAATGAGATGCTCAGTCTATATTTTATTTTAAGTCTATGGTACCAAAGCTTTTAATACTAAATATTTACTGAAGTTTATTTATTGATCAGTTATTGTGTTGCAATAATAAAAATAATACTACCTTATACAGAGTCTCTAAAAATTTACTTTAAATAATTATTAGCTTCACACGGCAATAACTTGTTTAATTTAAATGGAACACCCTGTATATTTTACGAGAATCAGATGCACAATTTAATTGTCTATCAAATTATATTATACCATTTTTTACCTATCTCTTTAAGTTTCCGTAGAAAATGCATTTTCTTGTAATTTAGAAATTATTTATCAATATACCCATGGAATATTGACATTTTAGATTATTTTAAAGATGTACCAAATTTAAAGAGTACAGATACTAATATTGTGGATATAATTCGTTTATTTCATTAAAAAATAAAAAAAACTATTTAAATATTTGTTAAAGAGGACCAATTAATATGATTCCAGTATTCAAACTACATTAACTGACTGCATTGATTAA